GGTCACCTTTTCTTTATTTGTTTTCTCTACAGTACCTTATTTGTAACAAATTCTGCAGCCTTAGCCCTGCCTGCAAACATGTCATAGACTCCTCAGGCCGGGTATGAACTGTCAATCAACAAATTTTGATAAATTTTGATTTGGAGGGTGGTGGCTTGCGATTGCTCAATGCCCTCATTTTGCGTTGAGCGCAATGCCGGAGTGGACGCACACCACGCCTCCCTTCAACATACTGACACCGTTCAGACTCCGGCATCCAGACCGTAGGAAAAGTGGAATCGGTCTCAGTCTCGGTCTTGGTGTGAGTCTGGGTCTCGTCAGGGAAGGGCTCCAATTCCGGAGCTGAGTGCTCATCACTCTCATTGGCTGGTGGACCCGCTGTTGCTTATCACAGGTATGATTCTGATTCCAGTATCCACTCCGAAGGGCCATTCCGACCAAATGCCCACAAGAAAGCCAAAAGCACAATATCGTCACAGCGCAAAGAACCATCGTCGTCGCCAGGCAATCACTCGGCTACGGCTCGGCTCAACTACGGCTCGGCTACGCTAATCTTGTCTTGGCGCGTGGCAAAAATCATGAGCACAGCCAATCTGGGCCTGCAGCCCCCAGCAGAAACACGCAAACAAACAACAGATAATGATAGTCACGTCATCAGAAAGCCGAATTGACTTCAGCGCTGGCTGCGCAACCCTTTGCAAACAAACAGCCAGCCAGCAGGCAGAGAAATTCTATCAAATGAGCACAGGAGGCGACGTAAGACTTTGACATCGTGAATCCCCCTAGGCCCCAAACTCTCGAACAGCTTTGAAACCTAAAATTCGATAACAATTTACAATCAAAAAACACTAACCAAACTTCGTATCAGAACAGAACTTACCACAAAAGAAAGAACCTGGCTCACCACTGAGGCAGGGATTCAGGACTGCGCAGCTATCGCCACCCGCGTCAACAACCCCAAAACCAACAAACAAAATGGCAAACTGCGGCAAGCAGAATGAACACGTTTGCGTTCGTCGATCACTGAGCGCTTCAGAGCTGCTGGGAGTGATGCGCAATGTGAAGCGACAAGAAGATTCCACGAGTCCATACTTGTACTTGCTGAAGTGCCCTTGATCCTTCAACACCCCCATCACCTGGAGAAACACTCATGGGTCAGCTGACCTAACTTGATTCATGTCGGCGCTGCAACTCAAAATTGAAAGTGCGCTTCCACGCATCCTCCACCGTGAAGGATTTGGGATTCTGCCGTCTGATCTCGCGAAGGCAGCCTCGGATAACGCCGCATCCTTTCCTCACTTGTTTAAATAACTCATATGTAATGTGAAAAGCAATTTTATGATATGATTCGACGGATATGATGAAAGGAAATCAATTGAAATTAAGAACATCATATCGAATCATATCAGAATGGTATCATACCATTGACCCGGACCCAGCTCAAATGAGACGCACGCTGGGTTTGCGTATCATTGATCATTGTATCAATTGTATTTGTAAAGTATGTTGACGTCGACTATCAAGTTTCTAGACTCTCTTAGGCTTGAGGTCCGCCGCACGGTATAGGCAATCGGCAGTCACGTATCTCTTGGAAGGGTTTGTAGTCTTCTCGTCGAGTCTTGGTATTCAGTACACTGAAGAGAGGGCACGGCACTCCCATCAGCAAAATGTCTGCTAAGTGTCCACTCAAATTCAACGAGATATTCAGGAATGCAGGGGAGGGAGTCACAGTCACACAAGCAGGAAAGCCATGAAATCGTGATAAGTCAAGGTCAATCGCGTTCAATTAAGAAATGAAGGACGTGACTTGACCTGAAGACACACGGCTCTCGCCCAATGGCTCTTACTCTAACGCCTCCACTCCGGTTTGCTTGCCGTCTCTTTGCCACTAACAATTTTCAATGGTGCACCTCGGCTGGGCTGCGCAATGCCTGACATGTGTGGCAGTAGATCTCCTCCTCAACCTCCTCCTCCACGCCGTCAAGGACAGGGCCGGTAACCAATGGGACGGACGGCAAAGGGAATAGGTTTATCACTCGACCCTAACCCCTACTTCTGTGAGCGCTTCGTATCATCAGCGGTATATGATCACAGCCAAGGCACAGGCAAAGCGGCGCAAGAACCAAGATCGGTGTTTTGTCTTAGCCTCTGATCTGTGCATGAGGTTCACCTTGTAGCCTGTCCACGCCGACTATCACCTTAAAAGTCAGGAGTTGACGGGGCGTGTGACGCCTGATGTGATGAGGTGAGTGATGCGCGATGGGGATCACGATTCATAATCAAATCAAGTTCAGACTGCAGCGCGCAATGAACTCATCATGGTTCGGGGCCACTTGCAGCCCAGACACATCAAATAATCCAAAACGCCCGTCCCTTCGCACGCGCCACAAACATTGATCCTTAGAATTAAGAATGCAGGGTGCCACCGTCAACTCATCAACTTTGGGACGGCTGCAGATTAATTAAACTCAACATGAAACGAAAATCTGTAAGAAACCGTCGTCTTGCCAAAGTCTGTCGGCCTCAGCCCAGCTGCTTCAATTACCTATGTGAACCGCCAACAAGCCCTATGCTTCCACCCATAGGGACAGAGATGAGATGGAGAAATGACAACTGTCTCACTGTCTTCAGCTTAAGTCCTACTCACGCTATTCAAACTCAAAAAGTCAAACTCAATCAAAGCTTTGTTGATTGCAGCTTGGGCGCAAGTGGCACCAATGTTTCGGGAGCACAGTCATTGTCGGCATCATCTCCCAGTCGACCTGGGTTCCACAAACTCTCCACAAAATTAGGTAAGCATAAGGCGGCAGGCCGGTAGGCCTGAAACCCAGCCCAGGCTACGATTCTGACCATGTTTTGAATGTCAAAATACCATACGCCATATGAGTCATATGACCATATCACACCTTTGCCTTTGCGGTCGCCTTTGTTTATTTATCTATATAAACCGAACCCGAATCATCTGAACTAAGCTGAGCTACCAGTACCCCGTTATCATCATATGAGCTGATACTGCAGCCAGAACCCGATGGGGCATCTCCGCCGCCGGAACTATGATGGCTCTCGTCATCTTCGCCTGACGCTGAGTATATAGTTGGGTCCGCTTGAGTCTTGAGAACTCAGACCAATCCCTGCCAAACGCTGCCAAAGCTCTTTGTCACTTGACTCTGATTCTGATGAGTCTGAGAAGCTAGCGGCAAGGAAGCTTCGCTTTAGTACCATGGCCTTCACATAACACCCGGACTGCCTATCACGCAATGGCATGACAAAGCTTCCTAAGAACAATTTGCAATTGATGTCATTGATTTGCCGTTCGATGTGCCCGCCCTGGGCCACAACCTCTGGTTTGCGCCGGCCGAGCAGTGTTGCGCGTTCCACACACATAGGCAAAGTCGTCTACATAACAGGTGTGGTGAGATGTGTCCACGTGTCATTTTGGACTTAGTTTGGAAATTAACTTAGCTTGGAAGGTGCGGCCTGGCAAGGCCTAGATTTAAAGCAAAAGTCATGAGTTCAACAAGTCTGGAAAATACTGACTTTTCAATGAATGGCTGGCTGGTGTGTCGTAATTTGGGCCAGCCCCAGCCAAGTAATAGGAACACCTGGTGAAAATTCCATTTCTGGCCTGCATTTGTCGACAAATATTGACTCCTTTAATTTTATAGGTTTGGGATTGGGGCTGCCATTTACTCTGATTCTAGAAAGAACAGAATCTGTTACACGCAATTGGGCTGCCAATTTACACCAACACTTGGGCCCCATTTCCTGGGGAGAACAAAATCTGTTACATACAATTGGGCTGCCAATTTACACCAACTCCTGGAGAGAACAAAATACATACATTTGGGCCCATTTCCAGGGGAGAACAAACCTGTTACGTACAATTGGGCTGCCAATTTGCACCAGAACAAAATCGGTTACATACTCCTGGGCTCCTGAGATCTACCAACATCATGAAGAACCAAATCTGTCACATACTGGTTTAAATGGAAAGCCCCGTCAGAACCTATGGAACAAAGAGGCCACACGTGGAAAAAACATCTATCACCTATCAATGTCTTTCATCGGCGCCGCGTCGTATCGCGTCGCTCAACTTCATAGTCGTAGTTTCTGGCAAAAATTGCTCCTCCAACATGTCCCATTCCCCGTAATCCGTCCGAAGGCGTCCGCGAGCGCCAGCGTCGAGCCGCCGCAGCAGGCACATGCATCCATGGCCCACTAGAGGTGCGGCTTGTCCCCAGGATATCAAAAGATCAAATGAATGCTGGATGATGTAGGTAGACGCAGCCGTGCAAGAGGATGTAGGTCTAATACATCCATCTTGTTGGAACACGTGATGTGTTACGAGCTAGAAGCACAAGTTAACTGGTGGCCTGTGGGATCCTCTGGGTACTTTTGACAGACTTGAACAAATAAATCACCTCCACTGCAAGAACCGACCATCGGTGAATTGAAAAAAGAACACACAAGCCCGCCAAGGATACGGATCTCTACCCACGGCTCGAAATGGGACACTCAGCGCTTCCATGAGCTCGACGCCAAGCCCTTGATCGGTGGAAAAACCTCAGAGGTGCGTGCAGTGGAGCTGTCGTGATAAGCCATGGAGAGCACACAGCTGCGAGATCTGTCGGGAAGATCATGGAGTTCTGGACAGTAACAGCCCCCAAAGCCAATAACAAAATCTGCCGCATGAGGAACCCAAAGCCTTTGAAGATCTTTGAAGGGTAGTGACCAGTCCTGCGACCAACTTTTAAAGTCCTTCTTTGCCCAGGTCACATACCCTCAGGCGCTGTACTCCATAGCTCTCTCAGGCTTGCCGCAGTGCCCGGCCGGTCGCGACGGCACGATCCCGTGGCGACAGGTCGGTGGATGATCTTGCTCCAGTGATGTATGCAGAGCAAAATCTTGGCGTGTGAAGCTGCTATGAAGATTCTCTTCAAAATATGTGTGAGCCCTTGCTTGTTTTGACACGCTGAAGCTTGAGGTGAAGTACAGTAGATTCAGCGTGGCTCATGCATTCCCTGCAACGGAAGGCCAGCGACACTGCAAAGCGACTGCATCAACCGCTCTGGCACCTGCATGGTCCCGTTGCGCAACCTGTCCAAGCGAGGAGCGATGGAAGGAAGGGCGCTGATCAGCATGTGGTAGACGCCGTACCTTACACGGTTGTGCTCTTGAAACGGATCGCTACATGATCGCTTCACCCTGTCTGCCCAAAATATCTCCAAATCACCTAACAAGAATCATATATAATCATAATCTATCTATACTGTAACACATCGGCAAAAAAGAAGGCGTCACCTCATATCACATCATCACATCGTCTGGCTGTGGCGCTTCAGCGACGTTTGAGATTCTGGCCATACATCGAAGGTCAAATGCAAGACCGGCAACTCCTCCAGGCGCCAAAAGCGCGCTGAATGACTTGGGCCAGTCGACTTGGCAGAGGTTCAGAGGCTCAGATCTCTAGCTGCACAGCGCTGCACAGGTCGTCAGTGACAGCTCACTTCGTCATCTTAGTCCTTCTTGAAGCTGCCAGCCGTAAGAGAGTGCCTATGAAGCGCTGTCAGGTTCACCTGCGCCAAAACATGGCAACAACCATTGTAAACATGCTTGGCGGATTGTTTGCTTTGCCTTTCAGTGTTTGTTGAAACCAAAGCCTTAAGCAAAGCTCAAGATGGCACCGGTGACTGCCTGGTCATCTATGACACGCGGGCAATACTGCGGCGAATCGGGGCACAACCTCAGCCGTGCGGGATGGCCTCCAACCTATGGTCCCCAGAGATTATCTATTAGAAGGATTGAGAAGGGATCTATACCTTGAGGCTGTGTTGTCTTTTCACCTTCAAGCTGGCATCAAGCTTGAAGCTAGGGTCCCAACACATAGGTCTTGTTGGCACGCCGTGCGAATACGGCACCGTCCTGGCAATTGGAAGAAGCCAATGGTTGTTGGGTAACGGTAACAAGGACTGTCATCGCCGAATCAAATGAATCCAAATGGCTGGGTTGAACGGGTGAGCCCTAGCAACTGAAAACACGCCGAAGACCCGCGCGATTGTAGACTTCGAACCCAGCCTTCTCACCGGGGCCCAAGTGGAAGCAGCCATCCTGCTCATTTGAACTGTCGCGTGCGGTCGCAGTCTGGCTTAACGGAAACGCAACCGTCTCAAACACCCCTGAAAGTGAATGTCTCGAATTAATCGTCCAGGAGCGTCTAGGGATGAACCTCTCGTTTCCTAGACCCATATCTGCCCAAATCCACGAAACAGGCCCAAAGGGTGGCGCCTTCAGCACGCCGCTGATGACATGGGGCACTGGCATGCCCAAGGGTGGGCCCCACTTGTCCAAGTGTGGCCTTGAAAGAAGATGTGCTTGGATCTGGGATTCATTTGTCACAGAACACAAACGCCGCAACATCTACATCATAGTCATAATATGAGCCTTCTATCGCCCTGGAATGAGAATTGCTTTGCGCTCGGTCCTGTGCGAGCTTACCGGCGCCTGTCTAGATACTGTAGCTAAATTATCTTGGTTATCGTCCTGTCCTATCCATGTTTTGGTAGACGCAAACAAATGCAAACAGTAGTACTCGGAGTCCATCCTTGAGTTTCTTCTGGTCAGTGTGTAAAGGCTGAAATCTAAGTTACCAGTGCAGTGACCTTCCAACTTTATAATGCCCAAAAATATCCCAAACATGTTCATACAAACCTGTGTGTGTGTGCGAAGGACCCATCCACTGAGCTCATTGCGGAAGTTGAGGAAAGTCATGCCACACCCAGGAAGGATTTCCGTTCCTGGGGCGCATTTCCAGCTTTCTGGCAATACTCAGTAACAAGAAGCTACTAGTAACAAGTGCGTCGCTACTAGGAACAAGGGCATCACTACTAGTAACAACAAGCTACTAGTAACAAGTAACAAGTGCTCTGCTTTTTGCACTGTTCTGAGATATCCGTGTGTCCAAGGGCCCTGGCAACGTGACATCTCCAGGCCGCCAGGAGCGAGCAACACGCTTCTGCGCCTGACATCGGCACTGAAGTCATCCGAAAAGATCCGACAAAAAGAACGGTTCTGTTTGCGACACACTGTCACTTATAATATCCCTAAAAGGAACTCGAGATAAGGACTCTTCATGATTATTCATCATGTATAGTGAAGAGCTTCTTGGGATCGTGAAAGTGATCTTGAGCGCCAGCAAGTGGCTCCATCCGGCGCTCTTTGGCCCAGTGACCTAAGTTTCCGCACCTGGATCTGCACGACTGGTGGCTCGGGCATTGCCTGACATCCAAGTGACATCGTGCACATCCAAGTCAACTCCATGCACTTTTCTCGAAAGAAATGGTCGGAGTGTATTCTTGTTGACGATCCTGGCCCATGGATATGCTATGGAGTATGCTTCGGACTCGCTTCGTGCAGTGTCAAGACTTGTTCAGCGAGTATGCATTTTCAGAGGGTATGTCGAACAATCCAACTCTACATATCCAGGACACGTAAACAAAGTACAAAACCACATTGTGCACATCACCAGCCTTCCATTTGGTGAACGGAAGCACCACTGGATCATGCTGTTCTTCTTTGGCAATTCGTTCACCTTGAGGCTGCAGGCATCTGGAGTTCCAACATTGCAGAAACGATGCAAAGACGGTTAGTTACAGTAACAGTAAGACTTACCGCGACCAACCGTGGCCTTCCTTCTGCTTCGCCTTGAGCACCGCCACGTATTCAGTAATGTACTCCTTTGGCACCTCAGGTTATCTCAGGAAGCGAGAAGTGAATCCGATAAATACATGATTCTGAAACAAAACCACCAGCGGCCAACCCCTTTTGAGAGTCTCCCACTTCAAGACAAATTCACGTTTTGTGCCACCCCTTGGAATTGTTTAGATATGTGCACTAACACGCCCCATTATCCCCATTCCATTGGTCCGTCGTTGCACTTGCACTGCCCGTCACAACCTGCTGGGAGTTTCTGACATATAGCTTCGGGTCGCCCGTCAAGTGTAACCTAGAGATGTTGCCAGGCACCAGCACTCCGCAATCCTCGAAGCGCCGAGGAGATCGGTCAAAAGGACAAGAAGTTCCAAAGGCCCAGCCAGGACCTAATCATTGTAATTACGAGTATTCATTGTAAGCCGAGGTTATGCAGTCTTCACTTTTGTGGACGAGCTGTTTGCGCAAGTTAGCAAGCTTCCGCTAAGTCTTCAACTTGGAAAGGGTTCTCATCCAAGATGTTGCAAACCATAGACGGTGTCCTGGTGAATAATACTGAGTGAATACTGCTACTGCACTGCAGCAAATTGCACAGTTCAAGGGACTCGTCAACTTGTGCATATGCAAACATCATGCAACCATCCTTTTTTGGAATCAATATGAATCCGTCAATCTTTGGAAATCAACTCCAAATCCCACAGAACTGTGTGCAGCGCACCCATATGGCCCAAGGCCAGCTGTGGCATTGTCCCAAAGGACACGTTGCGATGGGATCTTGCTCGGCTGACCAGCGTTGCTCACCACCTCGCTGAGTACTTCGAGCGATCAAATAGTATTGCGAATGGGCGTGGCAAAGAGGTGCAGCACAGAGATAGGTCACGAGCCTAGAAAAGAGCCAACGAAGCTTCCCTTGCTCGCACGTTGGCAAGATACAGCTACACACCATGGTTGGCAAATTATGGATCTTTGTCACCTAGAGACGGCATGCCACATCAAACGATGCGACTCACAGACAGAGAGAGAGAGAGAGAGAACCGCCATAGCTTTCTGTGTCGGTCATGGCTGTCACTGGAGTCACTGGGGTTAATCCAAATGTCACAGGTCCAACACGCCGAATCGGCGGGCGATGCGAGCCCATGCGAACGCTCTCTGCGGCACCGGGCGAAAATGGCTGGACCCCTTGTCCACACCAGGACCTGCAAGTGAGACGTGTTTCAGCTCCTGCTGCAAACAACGAATACAGCGTTTTGCAGGGCCTCCTGATCTGAGACAAACCAAGAAAGCTCGTGCCTGGTAGTCCATGTAGACCGGTATGCATTTGAAGGCATGCAGGCCGTTGGTACGCTGACGAACCCAAAGCACCTTGAACACTCTCAGTGGAGTCAGTGGGTCTGGTGACATCGATATCAACGGGCCTTCTTCATGAGCTTGAAGGTTGCAGAAGATGTATTGTAGCCTGCAATTGTTTCACACACATTGTCTGCTTGTAAGAACTGATGGGGTATGAGTATGAGGTGCTGCCACCAAATTCAAGATCTGCAGAAATCACCAAGAAGCCTAGAAGCTAAGCACCCTGCCATGATGCCAAAGGGGCTGACGCCAATTGTCGACCTATTGCTATGGGTGAGCCATTGCTCTTGGCAAACATTTCATGTGGGGGCACAACTTCCCTCACCGACTTTCAAACTCTGCTCACATGCCTTCAAAGGATCTGAATAGTTGAGGCCTCGGGTCAAGATGCATCTTGGCTATCCACTAGCCAGTGGCCATCGCTTGTAAAAAGAGTTGAACTCTCAGACTCCCACGGCCCCTGGCATTTTGCTCCGAGCCAAAAAGGATGGCAGGCAAGCCCTCCATTCCCATCATCTTGGTGCAGGAGGGAGTATCACGGTCTAGTTTGCGGATGTATGCGGATGTTCATGTTTCCTCAATTGATTCTATTTCTGTAGGCAGGGAGTTGAGATCCCTCCATGTTCCCTTGTAAGAATCATGGCGCGGTTCGACTCATCCACACAACTTCCAACACAAAGCAGATTAAAACTGGCCCGTTCCGAATCAGCAAGCCTCGCCCAGTGTCTAAGACTCAAACTGCCAAAAGAGCATTGTGGTAGAGCCTCAGTTCCAAAAAGGACATGAAAGAGCCTAAAGCATCACCTACAGCACCTGGGTCAAGTAGCCCAGCAACCTTCGCTTTAACATGGAGTCCCAAGCGCCCAATCTGCCTACCCCTCAACCAAGCCACTGCTGATTGATTTGTTCCTCCCCCAAGAAAACAGACCCAAAAAGAAAGAAGCCTGTTTACTTGCTCATGCCTGACACCCAGTCAGCAACAACATCTCACCCCCACCGGCGGAGATCCCGACCAAGTGGTCTCTTTTTTTTGAGGCACACTAAAGCTGAGAGCCCTAAGTGGGTGTCACACTGGGTGCCCGGGCGCCATCATCGTGGCTTCAGGAACGCCTCCACCCTCACCAATGCGGTAAAGGAAGCGCGGCCTCGGCACCAATTCGATCATCCCAGGGTATGTCTCGATCGAAAAGGAGGGCACTCTCCAGCCAAGGGCAAGTATGTATTACCCCCACAAACTAGAACCCCAGCCTTACCAAAACCAACTTTGTGGACCCACTAGTCTGGGACGGGAGAAATAGAGTGCTACCATCAGCTAGTACCGAAGTCGGAAGGTGTTCGTGATGGTTTTGGTCGTTGCTCAATTGGCTATAGGGTGTAGCTTGTGAGCGGCCTGCGACGGTTATGCAAAGTTGAGCTCATGTTACTCTAACATACTGTAATGTTCAATGTAACGCGCACGCGTGAGAAACATATAAAATTTCAATATTTACGTAAATGTAGGCTGTTGGAGAAGGAGCGGCATGGACCTTAGTCCTTTACTACACACACACATTCCTGGGCCAATGTTTCACTTGTAAGAAAGAAACATTAGTTATATAAATACATATTATATATAGTATACAAAGGGAGCACGGCGGATTTCCTGACGCAACAAGTCTGGGAGTTGCACAGGTCGTTGTTGTCCAGGAAGTTCAGCATTAATCTGCCCTGGAGGAAGATTGAGTTTGAAATTCCCGCAAACGACACGCAGGGGCACAGTGGTGCACTGAAGTTGGTGAGGATCACCGGGACAACAAATACAGCCCCCGCAGACACGCCTGTGCCTTTGGCAGTTGCTTCTCCATCCAATCACCCAAAGCAGACATTGGCTTCTGCTTGGGACCTGGAACGAAAATGTCCTGCACCGCGAGCGTCAATTCCAAAAAGCCATTTCTCTGTGGCACAGTCAGAAGGCATATGAAGGCATCTTAGGCATCTTCAATAACTCTATCTTGAAAAGAAGGCTCCTTCAGGACAAAATACAAAGGATAGTTGTACACAGAGCCGTAGTCTCCAGTGGCATATCCAGCGACATAAGCCATATCCGTGTTCACCACCTGAGTCGTCGGGAGCTCACATGGCATTTCGGTGTTTCTTTTTCACCGACAAAGGCGCCCCCCAGGTGGCCCGGTGGGGGCGGCAGAGCCTCGTAGTACGCAGGGATCGGCGGACCCGTCTCCGGGATGTGGTTCAGGAAGTTCCTGATTTGTGAAGCCGGGACAACTGGACGTCGGAACCGAAAAGTCTACAAATGAGACTACAAATGAAAACGAAAGTGATGCTGAGGCAATTGTGACACCTGTAATTTTTCTGGTCTCAGTTGCGGGAGGCAAAAGTCGAGAAATCAATTCATGTCTGTTGATGGGCTGTCCTGTTGATGTGCCGCGCTGCATCCACACGTATTCCATCAAAGCCGTACTTGTCGACATGGTCACGCCTAATTTTGAGGCTCAGCTGGGATGCTGGCTGCGAAACAATCAAACTAAACTGCCACAAATAAAATTCCGCCCAATCCGTTTAATTCCATATTCCGGATTTGCGGACGGGTGACACCCACTGCATGAGCCCCTGCCAAACGATTGGGTTCTCGTGGTTGAAGTCAGGCAGTCCATAGAGCTTGCAGTCTAAGTCCGGGCAAGACAAACACAAATAAGTAACAAGAAGCTACTAGTAACAAAGGGCATCGCTACTAGGAGCAAGGACGCTACTAGTAGCTCCTGGCCTTACTACTAGTAACAAAAAGCTACTAGGGGCAGAGGCTCTACTGACAGCCGTCGGCTGAGGTCTACAAAGCTTAAGCTGGGAGGACTTGAGCAGCGCAAAGGGATGTGTTGAAGTCCCATCGGTATTGCTTGAGAGAGGGCGAAAGGGCAAAAAGACTTTGACTCAGAGATCCTCACTTAGACAAACCGACAAAGAATGGGATCACCCAAAGAGGATAGCTAATCAGTAATCCACTGAGCTAATGGCGCTCGAGGAAGTATGAACCGCGCTCGTAGTCTGAATCATGGATAAGACCTCGTTATCGTTTTGCTGGATCTACCAGCTGACTGCTCGAACTCAAAAGAGCAAGAGAACAAACAAAAGCAAGCTGGCCAAAAGTGACTATGCATGGTGCCGGTGTCAAACAACACAATCTGGAAGGTCAGCTTCTGACTGCAGTTGTCAGAGTGATAGTGTTCAGGTTTGTTGAAGGGCTTCAGGATGGACCTTGCATTCTCAGTCCAGCAAACTGCACAGCAAATCCAGGTCAAAAGCTCTGCGTACAGTTCTATGCACTGCAAATTGGCCGGTAGAGTTTGAGGAATTCATTTTGGCGAGGGGTCTACCAGCAGCAGGTGTTCTTCCGTCGACTCTTTGACAACGAGACGACGGGCCCGCTCGACACGCTGCGAACTGGCTGAGCGCAAAGGCACATCTCGCGGGTTGCTGGCGTTCACTTTTTGAGATCCAGCATGATTCCTTAGCAAAACTTCTTCCCGTCAGATGGTGTCGTTCTACACGAAATGGAGACATGGGCTTCCAAACGTGAATTCAGGCAGTACATGAGGAAGAACGTGCAAACCCACATGTAACAGGGTCAACGGCCAAGTGTCATGTTGACGTCCACAATGACCTTCATTCTCCTCTCGTGCAAAAGGATCACGAGCTGCCTCACGTCTTCCTTCAGGGCAAGCTCTTTCACACTTGAACGACCTTGGCCTATTGTGTTCATCTCCCAATGCAATAAACGCAATGCACAGACCATCTAGAAATGATCTGATTGTGCAGTGTGGTTCCTCTTGTCTGTTGTGACTGACCACCTCTTGCAAGGTGGGTCAGACTGTGAAGCGGTCAGTGTATGAAGCAACGGAAAGAAGCTATCGCCACTTCACTTGAATTGCTTCCAACACCGGTTTACTACATAAAATGAGCTCCCATGGTGCTTGTCATATTGAAAGGGTCTTGGAGTAATAAATAATCGTAATCGGAAGTACACATCCTCGAACTGCCAGGAAGTCTTCATTTTTGCACGCTGGTGGCCATGCTCAGCAATGCTCTGTGGTTTTACCTTTCCAGTCCTCCGTGCCGTACGCTGGGTTAACCTTGGTCAAATCTTTCGTCCAGTAGCCGTGGTAGCCGTGGGGCATCTGGCAGCGAAAGTTTACAGTGCAGAGAAGCAAAGCTGGTGTCAGTTGTCATGGGAATCTGCGGTGGCCAGATTTGCGAGGGACAAAGCTCTTTGACAACACGTTCTCGTCTGCAGACAACAAACTGAAGTTGGTTTGCAGTGTACAACGCTCAAGGTTGGCTCTAGGCTCGACTCTACTGACTCCAGTGACAATTTTCACTTGGAAGAATCTCGAAGGGCCCTGCTTCTGTCATCCTGATCAAGGCTGGCTCAACAAAGCTGATCGTCCCCACCTGATCCACGACCGGTGACAGAACAATGCCATCCACTCCCAGTTCCTTACGACAGAACTGAGGCACATTCCACTCATCTTTCGACGATGTGCTGCATCCGGCGATGCTGGTGCGAAACCAGTGTCTTGCACGGTTTTTTCTGTCTTGGCGCTTTGTTTGGGGCGCTTGTTTGGGGGAGGCGGTTGGGTTGGTGCACTTGGTAACGGAGCTTTGCAGGATAACTTGGTACACTTCTCGAAGTGCGTGTCGCTAACCACTAGCGAACCATCAACGACCAACGAACGGTCACGCCGGTTTGTCCTCTGGTGAACAAGCTCGATCCCACCCGGCTACATGGACATGAACTCATGGTGAAGGCTCACATATGAAAGGATATGACATGCTCATCCCTAAACTCTCATCACCAAAACCCCTGAGATCTTCACCATGAGGGTCCCACGGGTATCGGCAATCGTATGCCATCTTTTCGACGGCGGCCAGGAACGAATCTTGTCGCTCCTTCAAAAGGCGCTCCAACTCTTTCTTGCGAACCTTCCGACCCGATTCAAATTTGGGGTCGTGAATGAGCTTCCACTTCTGTCCTCCAGCGAAAAACTGTAAAAGAACTTTTCTTGAAGCCCATTTCGTCAGGCTGTCGCCTAATTGTGCTCCTCCATGAACCCAACGAAAATCTGTTCCTATTTGCCTTGCTTGTGCAACAGAAATCGTCAACTCATAGCCAGCGCGGGCTGATCTCAAACCATGCAAACTCGACAGGTTTCGAGTGGCAGCATCGAAAATTCCACGTGTGTCCATGACAACTGCACCATGCGTGTTCTCCTTGATCACCTTCTGGATGGTGTGTCGTTCAAACACTTGTCCATTCAACTCTGCCCACAAACATCTTGCTCTAAAAATCATGTCTTCTGCCTCAGTAACTGACTGTACTTCAGCTCCGTTCGAACCCATCACCTGTCGCAAGCACTTGGATGATTTCCACTGTACCAAGGAAACTGTTGTCTCTTCCCCGCTCAGGAACTCTATTGGCGCCATGCCAACGATTATGCCCGTGGTAGAGCTTTGATCCGGTCGGTTCCTTTGCGAGGCGTCAGCCCATGCAATGATTGCTATCTCCTTCCATGGTCTCCGCCATGGATGGAAGGTCAACACCTGTTGTGATTCACGACGCATCTCCCTGACAAGCTTGTTTGCTTTGTTGAGAGTGTCGATGGTGGCATATGGAACTTCTGAAAGCAACAAGCCTGCATCTGCAAGGAACTGGGGGGATGTCTGTGAAGCTCTCCATGCAATGGAACCAATGCATCCTCTCAATGCGGACACTTCAGCTGGAGTGGCTTTGTCCTTGGCCTGCTTTGATCGTTCAGCAGTCAAAGAAATCTCTTCAATCCAACGTTCAGTGTATTCCGTCTGGGACATGGTGATCGCTCCATCACTTTTCCCATTCAACTGACAACCTGTGAAAACAAAACTGTCTTCATCCCACTTGCCCCATTTGTATGCCTGTTGCAAACGCTCAAATGCTGTCTGAAAAACTGGACTGTCTCCACCACCTACTAGCACATCATCAACATGGATGCCAAGGGCGCTCACCACCGGCGAGCCTTCCTGCTTGTGGTCCTGCAGGATGAACACACAGCGGTCTCCTTGCAGTGGACGATATCCAATGCTGGTGAGAGTCTGCACTAAATGTTCATACCAAGCTCTTGGAGCGTTCACGAGACCGTAGAAAGCACGACGGATTCGAAGGGGCATGACTGGAGATTCCGGAGGTGCTCCAAAAAGAACTGCAAGCTCTGCTGGGGCCCATACGGTCAAACAGTCTTTTTCCATGCTCTGATCCGCTTGCAAGAAAGCGGCCGTGACGTCCCCTCCGCGGATGCGGAAGCCATTGTTGCTACATAGGGTGAGTAGCATGTTCTTGGACAACCTGCTCATGGTTGGAGAACTGGATTGCACATTGACCAGGTTCGGAGCCTGATAGCCACACACCACAAGTCGAGCCTTTGCCGTTTGGTCACTCTTGACCACCAACACCCAACGCATAGTCATCACTGACTTTGGATTCAGGTGTTTCATCTCCTGAGTCGTCAGCGACCGCAAGGCCTTCGACTGTAAAACATTGCTCAACTCTTTGGCCTGTGCCAGGTCAAATGCCAATTTCTCATCCATTGACATGCGTGCCCATTCCTTTTCTTTTCCTTTCTCTTGCATCTTCTTTGACAACCATATCGTGGATCTGTTCGGATGGTTGTTCAGGTATTGGAGGTCCTTCTGCTTGATCTCGATCTCAAGTTGAAACACATCCTCTTTGTCCACTGACATGTAAAAGCTTGATTTGTCATATGGTTTCTTTCGCTTCTTCAAAGTCTCCTTTTTCACACGCAGCTTCTTCTCTGGAATCATCTCTTCAGAACTGCTGCTCGATGAAGTCGATGAGGACGATGAAGAAGAGGAGTCTTCATCCATTGGAATATTTCCATCAACTGAATTCCAGTGGAATCGTTTGTTGGAGCTGTTCATGTGAGGTCCGTCATGTCCTCCTGGAAGAATGCATTCAGCCACAGTGCATCGGTTACCGATCACAGTTTGTCCACCTCTTTCTGCTGGAGTTCTGTCACTCTCGAGTTCTGCTCCAGGTCGAGGTGTGCTTGGCATTCCGGCTGGAGTCGGAGGAATTGGACGGCCTTCGATCTTTGGATCAGGAGGATGTTCTCGGGGTGTTCCAGGTTCATCTTCGGCCACCCTTTTGGTGCCCTTCTTCTCTGCCTTGGCTCTTCGTTTGTTTGGAGCGGAACCCGAGCTTGTGGATATTTCGAACCACGTCTCTCCTGTCCATCGTTCTTGGAGTTGCCGATGGGGATCATCACTTTCACGAAAATTGTCCTCCAGAACTGTTTGTCTTGCGTTCTGGACGGAGTGTGTCACATAGGTCTTTCGGACACCTGTCAACTGAGCCTCCGGGACAGGACAAGAGTTCACGCGGTGAGGCGTGAATAGTCCAAGTCGGGGAGCATTGTGGACACGGATCAACCACTTGTCTTCTTGAATTCGCCATTGGTCGGCCTTGACTTTGTCTGGCTTTGGCTCTATCACCACCTTGGCTTCGCTGAGATCTTGTTGTCTTTCAAGCTCCGAAGGTGCTTCACCACAGATGTTGGTGAAGTGTTTCCCTGAGAAATGACGGAGCAGGGAGTCGATGGTCACAGGCATGCGGTAGATGGCTGTGCCCTCCAGTGAAGCCTGTAGTTCTTCTTTTGTGGTGACATTCCGTATCTGGTTGGTCTTAGCCTTGACGATCGAGGAGCCGGTTGCCAACCATACAGTTGAGCCTTCTTGAATCAAAGTCCTCAGAGGACCAACCCATCTTCCTTTGCCTCCGTGCTGACGCCAAACCATCACCAAGGATCCAGTGCGAAACAAGTTTGGAGGTCGGCTCACGGAGTTTGACGATCTGCTCAATCTGCTCTTGGCATATTCCATCTCATAGGCGATCTTTGCCTTGGCCTTTAACTTGAGCATGCCATCAAATGCATCCTTTGGTCGAATGCCGACCGGGAGAGATGGTTCTGGGGCGTCACTTCCTCGGCACCATTGGAAAGGACTGAACCCATGTGGTCCAATCGTTTGGTTGTGGCCATGTGTTGCCAGGTTCATCAAATCCTCAACTCCCATGGCGGGACATTCTTTCTTCAATCGTCTGTAGGTGGATTTGAGGATGTTGATGCAACCCCCCTCTGCTCCCATGACCCAATGCGCTTCTGCAGGTGAGGTCAAAATTCCGATCCCGCTACGACTCATGTAGTCGATGAATTCTGATGAGGTATAGTAACTTGCAGGATCACTAACCACCCACTTGGGACTGGGGTTCATCATCAACCATTTTCCAAATGACTTCAGCACATCCGAGGTCTTGGGCTCCCAGTTGCGAACATCTCCTCCATACACCTGAAGCAGGTCTGTGAAGGCCAAACCACTGGCACGATCACGCCAGAGAATGAACTTAGCCTTCTGGGTGTTGCCATCATCATCGTCTTGAAACTCCAATTCGAACACGTCGGTTCCGACTTGTTCAAAGAGGCCTGGCATGTCCTCCAGGGACGCTGTCGGTGGTGGTTTGGGCTTCTTTGCCTCCACACATGCTGGACACTGGAGTTCTCCTGCTAAGGCCACTGCCCATTCAGGTGCTTTCCTCATCCTCAACATCTTCTGAAGATTGGCCATTGATGAGTGGCCGGATGCACGATGAATCCGCAGCATAGTTTGCTTGATGGACTCCAGTTTCTTGCCTGTTGGTCTCTCCTTGGAGTATCTCTGGCGCTGAAGGGCATAGATCGAGGGTTCTTCTTCTCTGATCTTGTGTTCTGGACTCTGTTCATCGTGCCCTTCATCAACTTCAAGCAGGCACAACTGGATGTCCTTGGCCAGAGAGATGTTCTGCTCATCTTCTGTTCGAGTCCAAGATGCAATCACTGCCTTTCCCACGGCCTCAACCATCTTCTGTGGGTAGTAGGCTGATGCTTGAGCGGCCATTCCTCGGCACTCGAGGTGACCTCCTTCATGTCCTGGGCATTTCTTCTGAAGTGACATCCATACTTCTCTGTTGGATGTCAGCACTGTCCAACTCTTCATGATGGGGTAGCCGGCATAGCATAGACCATATGCGCAGCCATGGAACCGTGCCCAGAAAACAGGTCTGCCGAGGGCCTTGAGCTTCTGGATCAGTCGAGTGATGCATCTTGCTTTCCATCCTTTCGCAGCTCCTGTAGGCCACTCCCATGCAAAATCATTGCCCTGCTCCAAGCTCACACAAATGGCCTGGCTAACTTCATCTGCCCGTTTCAGGTCTTTGTTTTGCCGTTGCAGAAACAATGCTTGCTCATGCTCGGTCCTGGCCGTGAGGTTGGTGAGAGGGCTGATGCGGGTGCATGGAAGAGACACCCGTGACATTCTCGCCGGACTGGCTGTCATCTCCTCTTTCAGGCGAAGAGTGCCCATCCTGGATTCAAGATCATAGCCATTCTTGTAATTGATCCGGCGAATGGTGTAACCTTTGTCTTCCATGAAGGCGCTCAAGGAGCTGTTGGGAGCACATGCAATCTCTTGGAAGTCCACTCCCATGCTCATCTGGGAGAACAAGCCTTGCACTGGTGCCATGATCATTGCTCCCAAGGTGGCAGCTGTTGTTGCCAACTTCTTCACTGTGTTCAAAGGAAGTGGTTGTCCCTTTACTTGTTGACCGGCCTTCATAGTGGCGCCGGTCCACACTCGGGGAGGTGTCGTTGACGTTGTCCTCAAAATTGTGCCATGCTCATCACGAACAGGCGGAGAATCTTGACCTGAGTGGTTCAAGTCTGTCGTGGTTTTCGTGGTGTTCGTAGTGTTTGTCGTGGAGCTCGAACAGTCGGCTGTCGAGTTCTGTGCTGGTGTGCGACGCACGGGATTGCAAGACATGCGGATGTCTTGTGATGGGCCATTGCTGCCCTGCCATCTTCTCACTTCTCGCAAGCGATCCCACAGACCGCAAATCACCTGGCTCAGTCCTTCTTTTCTCCCTCCTCCGGACCCCTCATGCTCATCATCTCGTCTTCCGACGTGACATCGATCACTGGCTGCTCCTCCTCCGGCACCACGTACACCTTTGGTGGGGCTGCCGTCGATGGACTGGATGGCGACGCCCTCTTCGGAGAACTTGTTCTCTCCACCTTGGCCTTCATGTAGCCCTGTGTCTTTGGTGCCTGCAGCATTGTCAGGATGTCCTTCTTGAGGTCCGTCTGCTCGGATGAACTCGATTGGCCCTTCTCCTGGAGCTCTGGAGGTGATCCCGGAACCGTTGTTGCCGGAGTTGCTGGTGCCTTCAATGCACTTGATGCCAGGTCTGGCGTCTCCTTCGAAGTCTTCGCTTCCGTCTTGATGGGAGACATCTCCTTCGATGGGATTGTGGTGATCCCATCTGCCCTTCCGAAGCGCTCCAGCCTCTTCTCGTACTCGGTCAGGGTCATGTTCAGGGCTATTGGCACTTTGATGCCCATTTGCAACATCGTCCCCTTGATTTCCATCATCTTGCCATTGACGATGTCGGCTGTCATCTCGCTTGCCGGGGTTGTCTTCTCGAGAGATGCCATTGTCAGCCTGATGATCTGGGGATCTGGGCCCATCTGTCGAGTGTGTCCTTGTCCACTGCCACCCTTGGCCGTGTACTGCACTCGAAGGCCACACCGACTGCATGCGGCCCATGCCGCAAATTGATTGCTCCTCATCTTGCCGGTCTTGTGTTGACCGTAACATGGGAATCCCTCCTGTCTGGGATCGTCGCATGCTGCTGGTGCACGAGTGGACATGTTCCTGAGGCCTTCGGCGAAGATGCGAAAGTCTTTGAGCCAGATTCTCAAGTCGTTCACTCATCGAGCCAGCTTGTGAGAGACAGGAAGGAGAGGAGAAACAAGGAGAATGGCCATGAATGCAACTGCTCTGCACATCGCTCATCATAAAAACATGTTCCACAAAATTGCACTGTTGCTCAACATGCTCTGTATGCCTTGCCCCGACTCTCCAAACCACACATCTCTGTCCTGCGGAATGGCCACTGGGGTCGCCGCCAGGTCGATCGTGAGATGGCCGGAGGTGAGAGCCTCCAGTTGCACAGCTCTTGCATCATTCTCTGTGTTGCTATGTGCTTGCCCATGAGGTTTGAACACGAACATGCCATTGTGGTACGACAAAACCGCATTCTTCTTTCTCAGGAGCTTCGCGCCGATGAGCGGTGGAGTCGTTGATCCAGTACCGCCCAACACAAAGAAGGAAACAGGTCCAAGAGCTGTTCCAAAAAGATCTACTCGGGAGATTGCTTTGTCAGTCATCCCGTTCCCAAAACGGAAGGTGGGCAAACTTTCTTTTGAAACTTCGTATTGAAAGCCTCCTGAAGCAACCAGGTCACTGAGGGAATCAATGCCGACAGCATTTTCGGTTGCCCCTGTATCGATCACTGCTCTTGTGGCCTCACGACCATTCATAGTGTTTGCATCCCAGCTCAATGAAAACACAGCCGAGTCGTAGTTCACATAGTTCAACTTGCCTTTCTTGCCCTTTGATTTGCCCTTGAAGTCACCGGAGCTCTTGCCCTTTCCTTTTCCTTTGCCAGCAAATCTGTCTGGGCAAAACCTGTAGCTGTGATTGGGCTTTCCGCAGGTGAAGCAAGGACCAAATGAGGAGCCCTTGCCAGCACCTTTCTTGCCTGCAAAGCTCTTGCCACTCTTGCCTTTGCCCTTGTTCAAAGCTGCTGAGGTCGGGCTCATGCCCTTGCCCGTGTTGGACTCTGGAGCGTAATAGCCGCGCGCAGCTCGCACTTTGCGAACGGCCTCACGGGCCTCACGAAGAGTTCTGTGGGCCTCGTCCGCAATCGCAAAGGCCTCTTGGTATTGGCGCTCTTCCGCCACTTCACTGTTCTCATCTGGTAGAACAGGTTCTTCTTCGACCAACCAATCTTCTTGCCAGTCAGCTGAACTCCATGCGTCACCTGACCAGTCTTGCCAGAAGTTGGGCTCAACCCATTCATCCCAGCCGCTCGGACTCCAATCTTGACCATCGGCCCAATCCAGTTCTTCCCAGCCTTCATCGACGGGGAAGTCATCCCATGTCTCCTCCAACATCCAAGCTGTCTTGCGACGCTCAAAACCTGCATGTGCTTCGCCGTCATCTGCAAACAATGTTCTCAATGCCAAACGAACTTGATGATAATGTGTACTGTTGGCCGTCTGGGTCAAAACATGTTGCTTCTCTGAGGTCGAAAGCCTAGCAGCCTTGAGGAGTCTGTAACCTCGGAGTTCGTCCTCAAAGAACGATGCCAACGGCGTCTGTTCGACAGCAGCGGATGACTCACCTGTTCCAGTACGACGATTACCACCTGAAACTGGCGAACGGGACGGAGTCGACGGAGGATCAACTGGAGTTGTACCTGTACGACCCAAAAATGCCTGTCCAAGGATGCCACCACTAATAGAAACACGACTTCCGGTTTTGGCAGCACGTGCACGCTCCAATGCCATCTGCAACTGAATGAAAAGATCTTCTTCTCTCACTAGCAGTTCAGGAATCGTTTCACGTGGTGCTCTTCTCAAATGGTGCCATGCCTCGAGTCGACTAAAGGAGTCGGGTACTGGGAGTTGCTGCAGTGGGGAGGCCCTGAGGACATCCAAAAGCTTCTCCAGTCCAGTTTCGTCTTCGAATTCTTCTGGAGGAAGATGCTTTACCACCTGTTTTGCAGCGCCGGACAACCTCTGCCAAACCTTGCTGGCTGCCAACTTTTGCTCACTATCCTTTAAGGATCTTTGATACCACTTGCAAGCTGTAGCAGAAGTCTCAAAGGTCGCAGCGTCTCCATTCCAGGTTGGAATGTCCTGACTTCCGCCTGCAGCCATGGTCCCGGAGCCGTAGCTCCGCTACCATGCACTTGGTAACGGAGCTTTGCAGGATAACTTGGTACACTTCTCGAAGTGCGTGTCGCTAACCACTAGCGAACCATCAACGACCAACGAACGGTCACGCCGGTTTGTCCTCTGGTGAACAAGCTCGATCCCACCCGGCTACATGGACATGAACTCATGGTGAAGGCTCACATATGAAAGGATATGACATGCTCATCCCTAAACTCTCAGTTGGCATTTCTAATGGGGGGGGCCTGCTAGCCAGTAAATTTACTATACTTTTTTTTCTCAGAGGTCTTTATGGCTCAAGATAAGGCTCCTCGAGATAGCTGACCTTCTCCATGAGCCCAGGAAGGTTGCCACCACAGTAGTCGTTCCTGGGTAAGGAAAGGCGACTTGGCTCTTTGGCAGCAAGTTCATATTCTACCATGTTCTTTAGTTCCTCTGCATGGACTCATGGAGAAACGGCTTCGATGTTGAGGATACACTTGGACAAGTCAGCATCTAAATGCTGGCCAATCAGAAGTGCCAAGGAGTGTAAGAAACAAGTTGCGCCAATCCACAAATAATGGAAGCTACAAATAGTCATACAAAAGAGCCTTACAAAGGAACGTATATATGTGTGTACATATATATATATATATGTGTGTGAATAGGGTGTGTTTTTACTTGATGTGCGTTGTGGTTGAGGAATTTGTTTGCGGTCATGGCTTCTCTATAGTTCCTCCAGCGGAAGTAGAAAGCTAGCTCTTTGTCGAAGAAACAACTGTCCAGGAGGCCATTTTCCATGTCCATGATTATTTCAGAGCGTCTAGGGCCGGTGTGCAAAAAAATACTAATCACCTGGACCACAAGGCAAAGCAAAAACAAAAACTCCGGCCGCAGGGCGAACAAACATGAGACAAGTGCATCATAATCAAGAAGGGAGTAAAGAATGAAAGAGTTTTATTCATAGTATGATGCACTTGGGCTGTCTTTTGAGAATCAATAGCGACGGCAACAAAGGCCATAGAAAGCAAAAGCAATTAAAACAGGGAAGCAAAACGTCACAAGAGTATAAAAGCAGGACAGCAAAAAAGCAGGAAAAGCCAGGAAGAGTAAGACAGGGACAAACGAAGCAGGAAAAGCAAGAAAAGCAGGAGAAATCGCAGGGAAGCAATGAAAGGAAAAGCTGAACAAGTACAAAATAGCAGGAAAAGGAAGAAACGCAGGAGCAACCAAACAGAACCAATTAAAAATCAAGACAACCACAAAAAATGAAGAAAAGAAAGAAATGCAGTAGAAATCACAGGGAAGCAATGAAAAGCCAGAAAGGCAACAAGAAGCAGGAAAAAACATATAACCGGTAAAAGCCCTCAATATATATATATATATATACAAATGCCCCCTCTGAGCACAACGTACCGACTTGGTCTGATGCGAAGGCGGCTTTTTCAGAGTGAATAAGCACGGTCATGAAAACGTGACACACCTACTCAAACACTTGAGCAACAGTTGCTAGCAAACCCAATCCGAGCAACCCAATCCAAAGAGCTCCCTGCGAATAAGTGTCAGCTTCTCACAGTGTTGTGGGCTGGTCGTGGCAAAGCGATCGATCAAGATCTGGTACATCGCCACCTCGCGGCTCGTGGCGTCAAGGACCGTGCTGACGAAGAGACGGGACTCGGCATCGACTGGACAGCCCGCCTGGGGCCAAGCCCAGGACCCCACGGGCAAGTTGTGCCACTCCTGGAAGCCATGAGTGACCAGCAGTCCACCACCACATTCCACCATCACCAAATCAGGTGTGCTGTATATAAAATGTTCCCAGTTTTGAGATGTGCTTAATGAGTCATAGAGAGGCTATATATGTCATTACTGTATATAGATGTATACAGATGTCCTATTATGCCGATCCAGTTGACTTCTGTCCTGCTGCGACGTGTTTTCCGGCATATCCCACCTGCAAAGCACCGTGCAAATGTTTTCTGTGCTGTCAGTTAGCCATTGCACAGCATATGAAGACCTGGGTTCCTGGCACACTGCGTGTCAGTGCACCCAAACGTGCGGCTTCCTGGATGTCGGGCTCATCCTTGTCCTGAAAAGGCGGAAGAGGCGCGTCCAGCCACGTCGCTTGTTGGTCTGCTCATTGTTTGCATGCCTTTTCACTATCACGATGGCTTCAACAAGTTTTTGAAGATCTAAGTAAGTAGCTGCGCTCTGCAATTCAATGTCTGAAGGTCTTGAATATTGATGAGAAATATAATATATACATATCATGTTTGGTGGCCTGTTCAGCAGGATTCACTAGCTAGAATGTCCTTGATGTATGTCTGGTTGAACAGCTTCTTGTTGCACTCGATTTGAGTTGTGCCGCAATACTTCCCACACCTGCACAAAAAAGGAATACAAACATTCCTTGGTCACCCTCCGAAGGCAGTTTCCATCCAGGTTCTCACAAGCAAAAATGTACAAGCGACTGCTGCTGTCACTGTTGTTGGCTTGATCCAGGTTGTGCCGAGCAATTTCCCCTGAACATTCCTAAACATTCAATATGTGTCTGTGTTTCTGTGTGGGTGAAAGCCTCTTTGTACGGTCTGTTGCGTTTCAAGCTTCGTGCTGACTAAAGTTGACTTGGCTGAGGCCCCTTACCATTGGCAATGGTTCTGCTTGCAGCTGCCTCGACGAGATCGGGTTTGCTCCGACCCTGTACACTTCATACCCAAACTTGCTGCATCTGTAAATTGCTATTGCTACTGGGGTGGAGGCCATCTCTAGTAGGTTCCTTTTGCTATTAGGTGGCTTAATATTAATGTACCCAAAGGCTCGGAGTCAACTGATAAGGGCGCAACTCTCGTTTGCATGGCGAACGCAGCTGTCCACCTGCAAGGAAGATGCATGTTTGCAAACCACTGGTGCGAGCTGGTGCCTTCCAAATGCAGCACACACAACAGTATCCAACCCAAATCAACACATGCAGACTTGGTGGAGATGCAACACTCTCCAGCATCTCAACCCACCAAACATGAGTTGTTGCATGGCACTTTGAAGGACCACGACATTCTGGCCTCCAACCTACTAGCGTCCTTGCTCCTAGTAGCGATGCCAGGAGCCCCTAGTAGCTTCTTGTTCTTAGGAGTAAGGCCAGGAGCCCCTAGTAGCGTTCTTGCTCCTAGCTACAAAGTTGCAGTTATCACATGTGGTGTCTGGCTTTGTAGGCTCAGTGCAAGCTAAAAGGCTGGCGAGAATGCAATAGTTGAAATCAAATTCACCAAAAGGGCCAAAATGGGAAGCATCGCAGCCTGCATGTGGAAGAATTGCCAAACCAGAACGGTGTGCCATTCCTTCCACGCTTTGCATTTGTGAAGTAGCCAAACTCATACAAACAGTTGTAACTCACATGTCAAGAACATCTGGGTCAAACCACACAAGTAGAATCCGATGGGGGAGCTTCAATTCAGCGAGTGTAAAGTGTAAATGGACCGAATGCAACGAACGTGTCCTGGTTGCTGTCGCAGGTCCCTGGAAAGCACATCTTCAGATTCCTTGCGGCAAGACTCAAAGATCTGCACTTACGTTCCAATTCTTGTTCCTAATAGCGTCCTTGTTCCTAGTAGCGATGCCAGGAGCCCCTAGTAGCGTCCTTGCTCCTAGTAGTATGGCCAGGAGCCCCTAGTAGCTTCTTGTTCCTAATAGCTTCTTATTACTAGTAGTAAGGCCAGGAGCCCCTAGTAGCGTCCTTGCTCCTAGTAGCGATGCCCTTTGCTCCTCGTAGCTTCTTGCTCCTAGTATGTCCGGGGGGGGGGGCCTTGCAGTAGCTCTCCAAAGCCCCCAAAAAGGGAAAGCTGGGCTCTCGCACGGCGGCTTCCCAGTCCAGGAGCAAGAATGCAGGACATTGTAACCTTCAAGGCTTGTCGTGAACAGGAAACTAGAGGTTCGTCTTCTTCTACTTCGCTTTGTGCAACACTTGCTTTGACTCTCTTGAACTCCGAAATGCTTTGCATTGTTTTTCTGCGCCACTGGGAACAAGAATGTGGGTGAGATGTCTTGAGCTCCTTGGAACATCAAAGCTCAGCATTGTGTCGGAGCAAGAACCGTCGCATGAAGGCTGCTTGCACTGGAGCCGGCAATCCAATTAATGGATTCTCTGGGCTTTCAGGCCGCACCACTTGCAGTTCCCATCCCTGTCCATTCTGTCCTGTCTGGTTCCTCCTACGGCGTCTTCTCAGCAACTCTTTCTCAGTGGCCTTTAGTTCAACGTATTCTTCAACCAAGCGGAGCTTGTTCAGGACCTTCCCGAAAGGTGTGTGTCCTGTGATGCTCATCTTGATGCCATTATCTGCACAGTTCTTCCGAAGCTTCTCCCTCACTTCCTTCTCACGGTGTTCTCGCTCATCTAATTTGCCTTGCAAGTCTTTTAAGAGTTCTTCTTGGTTTTTGGTGAGTCTGTACAACTCCTTTTCTCGCTCTTCCAGCTCCTGTGATTTCAATGAAAGGGCTGTATTGCGGCTTCGGACGCTTCGGAGCTCATTGCGTAAACGATACCTTTCCAGAAGAAGGTTCCTGTCCATGTCTCCTGTGTCTTCTGATGAATCCATTGCTTCAGAAACTTTTCCAGGAAGCTGGGGAAGCTGGCTCCACTTGCCAGCAAAAATCTCGAGCCAAGCCTTTGCAAGAACGTCCAACATAAACCGATACAGGCTCATATAACACGCTTGCAAAGTGCAAACAACCTGTCTTATAAATGACCACGAGTCACATCTAACTAATTAATATATCAACTGCTTGCCGCTTTGCTTCACTTGGAACTGTTTTGGAAACGGTCCGCCTGTCGACTCCCACCCTGTATTGTGTAGCATGCCGCCACCCACCTCAAAACATTCACAGTTTAGAACCCTCGGCTCAGAGAAGAATGTGGTACCCCAACCGCTGATGGCCCGGCACAAGAATTCCACTTCTTGTCCAGGAACCTTGGTTCTCTGCCACGCAAGGAGCTGTCACAGGACTTCAATCCTTTCTGCCAAGCTGCTGCAACTTCATCTTGAACTTCTTGTTCTTGCAGTACTGAGTCAAGAAGGACCTCAAAAAACAGGGTGACCAAATCCACCAGCTGGAACCAGTTCAAGGCATAGCTGTTGAAGTATGTTGAAGTCATCAAATGCGACACGTGCGGTTCGAGGAAAAGGCAGTTTCTGGTGGAGACCTTAAGTCTTGAGTTGCGTGCTGTTCGGGCATTGCAAAATGGTGTTGCTCATCGGCAAGGACCTGCGAGGAGCTTGTCATCCGCATTGCTTCTGAAACACTGGCATGTGTCTTTTGTAATATATAATGTATATATATATATATTGTTTTTCTTGAAGACTGCAAAATGAGTAAAGCCTAGCATAAAGCAGCTGAGCAATAAAGCATAGTAAAAGAAATCTGAACCTAAACATATCTATATAAACCCTCTTGTAAGTTTCGTGGTCCAGAAACTTGATCAAACAAAATGAACTTGTCCTTCAGACGGGACGAGAGAGCTTCATAAGCCCGCTCCAAGAGCTCTCAATGTGTACGTGCGATGTATGACCTCCTACAGATCTCCGATGTGAAGCGTCCGACATCTCCAATTGAATCAGTTCTGCAATACCAGGAGTCTCATGAAATCGTCTGAAACCACTTCATCTGAACCACGGGAAAAGAGCCGGCTGCCTGAAGGAGATGGCCCAAGCGTTGTCCGGAAGGAGTAATCACCATGACCCCTGGTCGGCTCACAAAATGGAAGGTTTTTGTCAATGTCTATAGGTTTTTGGGTTCGTGTGGAAGTCAGTCCGAATGAACTCCAGAGTTGCTTTGCATAGCAACGTTTGTGCTTGCCTGCATTCATGAAGCGTGAGTCTCCATCACCTTGAACAAGAGGTTTATATGCTCATGTACACCAGTCAACCGACACATCAAAATGCATATCAAATATTAAGCTTTGTCTCTGTCGAACAGGTTGTTGGAAAAACAGTTCTAAGCGTACAGGATTGAGAAAAGGAATACCAAATTCTCTAAAGGAGCTATGAAAGGACCAATGTGTGTGAATTTCATGACCGAAAACCGAGGATGACACGAACAGCGCACAACGGCGCGCTGCACTCGCTGAAGATCTTCCCCGGGCCTGCAAACTGGGCTGAACACCGACGAACAAAGCATGGGCATCCATAGACCACTAATGGCTTCTTGTTACTAGTAGCGACGGCCTCCAACCTAATAGCGATGGCCTCCACCTAATAGCTTCTTCGTATTGATTCATATTGATTCATACTTGACTCCATCTTGACTCCAATATGCGCAAATTCCCATGTGGACCGTGGTCTTGGACGGCTAAGTTGGATCCCTCACATTCTCCAAAGAGAAATATCAGTCACAGATCGTCACAAAGAGTCCGTGAAGATGCCACATGATGAGAGGCCGGGCTTTCGGAGTCAACGTCGAAGACCATGTCCGTATCCAAGAGCGCCACTTGGGAGTACTCGGTCATGCGCCAAACCTGGCGACGAGTCGCTGTTCGAAGGGCCAAGGGGTCGAGTGTTTGGAGGTTTAAGGAGCATCCTTGCTACTAATTAGTAGCTTCTTGTTACTAGTAGTGATGGCCTCCCACCTAATGGCGATGGCCTCCACCTAGTAGTTTCTTATAGTTTCTTGTTCCTAATGTTTGAGTATTGTCGAATCAAATCTGAATACAGACTCTGACCAGCCGAGGTCCCGACGGCAAACTTGTTCATGACTCCACTCCAGCGTTTGTGAATCACCTGTGGATCGGAGTGGCAAATTTCTACGTCTGGCTTTCTGGTTCATGCAGTTGCGTTGGAAGTAGTCGGAGGCTCGCTCATGGACATAAAAACCCGGAGTGCTTGGGCCTTCACAGGGTCCTTCTTGCAGCTTTGGGGAGCCATGCCGCGCCCTTTTCGTCGATCGCACAAGGTTTCAATCGATGCCAAGCCGCAGGGTCCGCGTCCATGACTGGAGGCATGGGAATGGGATCAGTGAAGTAGATCTTCACCTGGTGCATCGGTTTCACTGAACTCCCCGGGTAAGCATCGATGGTGACTTCACCACCCTTTGTTTGTTTGATTGTTTGTTTCGTTCCTGTCCTTCTGTTTGTTTCTGTTTGTATTGTTTGCTTCTTGGCTTGTTTGGAGAAGGCTGCCTGCGATTCTATCACGTTTCCCCTTTGGACGGTACTCCCACCAGAGCAGCGAGGGGAATTCTTCATCCGAGAATCTGAACTAGGAGCAAGGACTCTAAGAACGGGGCTCCTGGCCGTACTAGGAGCAAGTAGCTATTAGGAACAAGAATGCAGTAGTGCATTCTTGAATTTGATCCCTGAGATTTGGAGTTTCACAGAACCTTTACATAACGACTGAGAGCCGCGGCCTGGTGGCACCCGACAAAGTATCAGCTCAACTTGAGAGGAGGGAGACACGAAAGGTAGGACAGCGGGAAGAGAAGAGAACGCGAGAGGCAGGAACAAAAATGCAATGTTCGACATGGTGATTTATCCCCTCGGAGGCGACCTTTCGTAAATATATGTTCATATGCACTCTAAATGTTCAAACATATGCTCTCGAAATGTTCAAAAAGATTCTTAGGAAAACAAACTTGCCCCATGGCTCAGATCATCGGTGAGCATTGAATCGGAGCATCATAGGATTTGAACTATCCTGAAACCATAAGAGGCTCACGAAGACGTTCCCCAGAGAATTGACGTGCTTCACAAAAAAAAACTCTAGGTATGTATCCCCTCGGGGAACACCTTTCGTGATTGGAATTTCATATGCACTCTTTCTGAATGTTCAAGAGGGTTTCAACTATCCTGAAATCATGAAAGGCTCACGAACACGTTCTCCAGGAGAGAATTGAATTTAGAGGGGGGGGGGGTCTGTATTGAAAAAACAATTGGAGGGGGGGGGAGGGGGCGGGGTCTGAATTGAGCGATCAATTATTCGACCCGGACGCGCCAACACTTGCTTCGCAAGACAAACTCAAGGTATCCCCTAAAGGGCTACCTTTCGTGATCAGCAGACTGAGCTCCAAACACCATCATGCGTCAGGATGTCCAAATGTTTCTGAGGCGTTGTCGCCTGAAAGGAGCACCCAAGAAATTTGTGGATGATTCATCCGGTCTTCATTGAGAACCCATTTCCATCCATTTCCATCATTGTCCATTTCCCAATCTCCAGGTCTTCAGACAATCATGTTCTTCGGGACAATAGCCAAGATGTCCTGGCGAGCACGGGCTCGACTGAGCACGATGCGCATCACGAAAAGCTAGTCGATCGCAGCAACGATGTGCGACTGGAAGAGCGTCACATCATATGAACACATCGTGACATCGCAACAAAAAGACTGGAAGATGTCAGAAGCTACTCTGTGCCTATTCCTGGTCGACTCAATCCCGCCTGGGTAGCGCCTGCCGCTCTCATGGACTTCACAAGGACTCGCACCTGAGAAGTATACAAAAAAATAAACATCTTCCAAGTGGTTGCACTCTGGAACGTTGGTGTTCGTCATAGTGGAAGGATGTGGAATGCTATACTATACACTATACATGTAAAACTAGAAAGAGCATGTGAAACATTGTGAACAACCTTCCAAATCTGCCCAAACATCTCCGCAGAGTGCGCTCCGCCTGTTCCATGCAATACCGAACTTGGGTCATGTTGGATGAACCGTCTGGGCGCACCGAAATGAGATTCTCAGAGCTATTCCCATAGAACAGGAAGGCAAAGGCCTCACAAGGTTTGCAAGCGAAGCATATTTCCTTTGGCCAAGGCCAAACAAAATCTGTAATCCTCCACTAGCAGACTATCATAAATGCCTTCTGTACAACATCCTACAACTGCCCTTCTTTGGTCGACGCAGCAGCCATGGCATCGGGTTTAGAAATCACTCGTCGGAGCCCCACTCCGCCTCAGTAGATTTGTCGCATCGATCGCCACCTCAGTGTTGGTGACTCAGTCACGAAACAAATCACAAATGACCGCTAAACAAACATTAAAGAAAAGCAAGCCTAGAGAAGAAAGGTTTTAAGAAAAGGAAAAGTCTGAAAACACTTACACAAGAAAGGCTTCAAAGAAAAAGGTATCTTTTTAAGAAAAGGTCTATTGACTAAAAAGAAACATGATCTGCAACTGCAACTGCAACATTTGAAAATTTCTTTCTACACTTGAAAAAAATAGGTAAAATAAAAATAAGGTCTCAGGGAAAAAAGAAGTCTAGAGAAAAACACTATCCAATGCAAAACACGTGTCTAGACAAAACGTCTTAAAACAAAGGAGATAAATTACTGCAAGTAAAAATAGTTAAAAGTTAAAAAGAATAGGGTCTCAAGGTAAGAACAACTAAGGAAAATACTTGTGAAAAGAAAGGATATCTAAAGGAAAAGGAAAAAAACAATGTTGAACGACCGGTTCTTCTGCACTGAGCCCAGTACTCACGCCAAAGTCGCAGGTACACTTCCCCCAACGACAGGAACCGCGGCCACACCTGATTTGCAGGGAAGGCTTCGCTGTGAACACTGGTCAAAGGGGTAGTGTTAATGTTTTTGGCAGCAAGTTTGCCTGGATTTTTTTGACACTTGACATTACTCTCGAGGCCATTGGCTATGCGTGCCACACCCATTCACTTCAGGAAATTATCCATCTCTACACCAAAAGCTCAGTCTGTGTTGAGGCCACTGCGACATGGCATCACACATAGTATCGTTCCTTGGCTGCACTCAAAATCCGCCCGGCCAGCATCGTCTGTGCATCTCTCCCCGATACTGTATCAGACTCAACAAGTGATGCTTCAAAATGTCAAAAGGAACCAAAAGCAAATGGAAGAAGTATGTATCTTCCGTAATTTGTGCAACTTAATTGATTGGTATCTCATGCTCCAGAGTCAGGAATCACAGCCTGTGCCTCTGCCACCCAACATGTCATATAGAAATACACTAGCTAGCCCGACACAACATGTATCTTTGGAATGTCCAACGTCTCCGGAGCTAGTGGCTTGGGCTCAGGTTGTCACAGGGCCAAAAAATGCCAAAAACTATATGGACCCTGGAGTTTGGGATACGTGGGCAGGCTGGTTCCGCCATGTCTCCGACAGGTCCCATCCAGAGATCCAGCAGAGCGAAAGCAAATGGCATTGCCAATCTGGGCCGGAAAGCAAATGGCATTGCCGGGTACAACAGCCATCTCGTGCCATTGCACATCATCGGAGGGTTTTTTTCATATGCCTGGCTACAAAGCCCTCCATTCATCTTGGTAAACGCGTATCAAACAGTTTAGAGAGAGCGAACAAATGAAAATAGTGTACAAATAATTAGCCATCCGTGGTACTCAAAGCCGCAGGTCGACTCTGCGCAAGCTTGCCAACTCTTGCCAAAATTAGACGAAAGAAGGTCATCAAAAGCAACACAAAGCAAGGCAGCACCTGTGTTCGCGAAACAGTCTGTACTCGTCACACTCACTGCACCCTACAGCCTCACGTCTGAGCTCCACACATAAGTTGGATCACCGCTCTCGCCTTTGGCGTGGCTAAGTGTCTTGCATTGCTCGTCCTGCAGGAAATATGGGGTCTTTCGCTTGGGCTGTTCGGTGAGCGCATCCTTTTCTGTGTGTGTGTCCGGGCTGGTCTTGCAGCAAAGTGTCCTGATTATCACATGTTGCAATAATCAATCACACCGAACGCACCTCTGAAAGGTGCTATGTTGTGTCTTGTTCGTTTAACAGCTTGGGAAGTTGATGCTCCCCCCTTCAGGGTGGGACGGGGTGGTACCCACCTCCAAATAATAAAGTGTTATTTGGGGGGTCCCTGACGGGGGACCCCCATAATTATTTGGAGAGGTGAAGCACCCCTCACCACAAAAATATACAAAAATTCAAGGCAGCAAAAAAACAACAACAAGATTCTTGTAGCCCCCACCCCACCCCTCAAATAAGGTGGCAATGTGGAAGCTGTATGTGTGTTACTGCACTGTGTTTATAATATCCTCATATATCATCATATGATATCTCTGAAAAAAATATCCAGACTCAGTATAGATATCAGGAATCCACCTCCCTATCTAAATTATTTGGGGGGTGGGGGACCCCCCCCAAGGCACCCAGTGTCCTCAAGCTCTCCCAGGAATCCACCTCTCTCTCTAAATTATTTGGGTGGTGGGGGGACCCCCCAAAGCACCCAGCGTCAAGTATACATCTTCAAATCTTTGCTATTCATCCTGACTCCTAGGAAAACTATTTAGGAGTCCTGCCACCTAAAGAAGTCGTACGGTATCGTAATTATTTGGACCCACCTTCACCTCAATTTGAAATGTATTTCTGGACCCACCAACACCGTCAAATAATTATAAACAAATGATTTTTAAAAATCAAGAGGTGACCCCAAGGGGGGCCCGCAATGGAAGTTGCCTTTCCATCTGGCAAAGATCGCTGGTCTAGATCGGCCACTCCTCACGGCAGTAGCCCACCCACTTCTTCATGCATTGCCCCTTCACCTGCAAAAACCAAAAGCAAACGCCTGGACCTAAATGAACACACATCAGCTGGAACGTCTTGGAATCCGTGCGAAGGTCGATCAGTTCGAACAGCCCGGTGCAAACGACAAATCATAAGTAAACGAGTTGTCTTCGCCTCCCATCCTTTGGCGTTATGCGTGTCGATCTCCGTGCCTTCTTTGCCTTTGACAAAATTACATGGCACACGAACGCTGCAACACTGGGCAAGCTTCCAACATAACTGAACACAATCCGCTGAGGAGTCAACAGAACAAGGGGCAGTAGCCATCTGCATCCTGACAGCAAAGTGGCACGCAGCTCTTCCCCGTTCGGAAACAAATGTTTCACAGCTCGTTGCAATTCGTCGCTTTGCCTCGAGGCAGCAATCCTCGCTGGACCTGGCAGCCCAACGAGACCAATGCGAGCGTCATGGCTGATGGCATGTTTTATGTAAATTACTAATAGCATCCTTGCTACTACTAGTAATGCCAGGAGCTACTAGTAGCGTCCCTTGCTCCTAGTAGCGATGCCTTTTGTTACTAGTAGCGTGCAGAAACCAACTCTGCGAACTCCAAGTTCCGGGCCAACACACACCGCCTTCATTCGAAACTACTCGCTTTGGGACTCCTGTCTCCCCCTTAGCAAAAAGGCAATGCATGGAAGAATGATTCCTAAACAGACCGCGTATGTTAATCAATGATATGATATTTATATATGTTGATTTAGACAATCACATATCTAAACCAAGTTCAATCGTGCAATCACCTCCCTGATTGTTCTTTTGTCTGCTCGAGTTCGTTTGAATGATTCGATCAACGTCTGCCACAACCCTGGCTTGACTCAACTCAACTGAGTCAAGGGCCTCCCGCATCATTGTGCCCTGCACCTACAGCTGTTTCGAAAAGGACCCTCCCAGTGAAGTTGGTTCAGAAACGGTTTTCTTGTTTCCTTCCCCGGTTGTGATCTTTGAGGAAAAACATTGACGGTCAGTCTCTTTGCGCCGTTGTCCGTGACGGCGGGCCTTCGTCTGGAGCAGCTGGACATCAATCTCTGCAAGTTCTCTTTCTTCAGCTAGTTCCACATCTGCCTTCAAACAACGGCGTCAACAAAGTGTAACTTTATATATACACAGACCCTCAATCATAATGAAGCCATATGAAACCTATGCATTGCTCTCTTTTCCTTGGGGCACAGCACTTGAACTCCAAGCAAATGACGCCATTTGCAGCTTTACATGACATTACAAGATATCTCGATGCCCGCATGTTCCGAACAAAAGAAACTGTCAGCTGCACCAACACTTCGAGGCCAACTGTTGCAAGGCCATTGTGGCTGGGCAAGTGACAAATTTGGCCGCAGCCTGCTGCGAACAAGTTCAACAAAATGTTCTTTCAGCGCTCAGCAAATGTTTCCGTAACGTCTCTCGTGCCGAATCACAAAGTTTGCCTGACCACGATACCTTCGGCTCATTCTCAACAAGTCATCCTCTTCATAGCAACCGAACTTGTGGCCATTCTGAAAGGCGCATTGCAGCTCGCATACCCGGTCACATTGCCGATGCGCTGATCTCGAACCATAGAAGTGGTC